AGAAATGATGCAGCTAACTTCACAGTTTATGATAAAACTAGGGTATATATTTTGAAATATTTTTAATATAATTCTGGCAAATCCAAGTGAATTAAACTATTCATACTTTTTTTCTTTTTTAAAAAGATTGTGTAGAACTATTGACACTGATGGTATATCATCAATGACCTTCTATGCTCCAAAGTTTATAGGGAATTTTCTAGGGCTAGTATCAGATGAAACAAAATGTAAACCTTTGTTATGTGAGCAAATAAACATATCTGTGAGTGCTATGGATTGAATTGTGTCCCCCAAAGCTCCAGGTATTAGAAACTTAACCCCCATAGTGGCAGTGTTAAGAGGGTGGAAAATCCTATTATGGAAATTGAAAGCTGGGGTCTTGAAGACATGATTAGATCGTGAGGACCATACCCTACTCAAAGAATTAATCCATTGATGGTTTAATGGTGGTTATGGGCATGGTTCTGATGGTTTTAAAAGGAGGGCACATGAGAAGCTCTCACTCTCTGTTCAGCTATTCTGCCATGTGAAACCCTGCATGTCTGTGGAGAGTCACTACCAACAAGACCCTTACCAGATGTGTTCCTTGCACTTTGGACTTCCCAGCCTTCAAAACCATAAGCAATAAATATCGTTTCTTTTTTTTTTCTTTTTAATCTTTTGCAACTTGTAGTTTATTTGCAACATTATATATTATATATTTATCTATAAATATTGTTTCTTTATATACTACCCAGATTCAGGTATTCCTGTTTTAAGCAACAGAAAATTGATGAGAGTGGGGTGTTGCTTATAACAAATACTTGTAATAAATAGGGCAATTATCACCAACACAGATGAAAAATTTCAAAACAAATTTTCAAATATATTTTAAACTGTAAATGGATATAAGCAAATATATATTATATATTCTCTAAAAGAAATAATATATAAACAAATATATATGTTGTTGGCTTATAAAAAATATCTACACTTTGAAATTCCAAACACTGTAGAAATATACAATGTAGAAAGTGACATGTTCCTCATTATTCTACTTTCTAGGCTTAGCACTATTCACAGGTTGTTGTATGTAGTTTTGTTTCACACATACCACGGATAATTCGGTATTAAATGAAAATTCAAAGAACAATGCTAAAAATAGTGGTTATCTCTGGGTTGTGACTTTAATTTTCTTTTACATAATTTTATATATTTTCCATTCCTTTTCACAATGAGCATGTATTACTGTTAATAATAACGAAAAAAGTTTACTTAAAAAAATCAACTTGGCAACAGTGTGGAACTCTCAGGGGCAGGGACCCAGCAAAATGCTTGGCTCCTGGAAGTGCTCAATAAATACCTCTTGGGAGAATGGCTGGAATAGCAGGGAAAGGATGGGTACAGGAAATCAATGGGAACAGATGAGGAAGGAAAGATTTGGGAGCAAGAGAGCGAGTTCAGTTTCAAACATGTTGAGCTTCAAATGCCTGGTAGGACTATTTAGATATGTTAATTATTATATTTTAGGGGACAGATGAATATTCATGTTTACAGAGATGTTTGGAATGAATATAGAGATAACGCTTTTCAAAAATTACACTATTATTTAAAAGTTCATGCAAAAGACAACTCCATCAACCTTAAAATCAATGAGTTTATTTTAGAATTAGAAAATATAATTGGAGGAATGCTCATACCATGAGTACTTTGATAAAACATTTTTATCATTAAAAGACAAAAAATTATTAATATCTATTTTAAAAATACATCATCAAGAAATATTTTAGGCTATGGTCCAAAGTTAAAATATTCTCAACTCCAGGAATGGAACAAGGTTCCTGCAGAAAGGATATAGAAGATTAGAAATAAAAAAAGCCCAGGCTTTAGTTTGGACTCTGCCTCAAATTGGAAATTTCATCTTGGGAAATTATCTAATTTCAGTCAGACAGTGACAAAGTAATAGATTTCTAAGAAATACTTTTGCAGGAAAAAATGTTTTACAGTGGCTTTGTAGGAATACTCTACCATTTAGTTGCTTGGGAGAAAGCAAACATGTTAACTTTTTTTTTTAAACTGATGAGACTTTAAAAAATCAGTTTAGGGCCGGCCCGGTGGCGCACTTGGTAGAGTGCGGCACTTGGAAGCGCGGCGGCGCTCCCGCCGAGGGTTCGGATCCCATATAGAGACCGGTCTGCTCACTGGTGGAGCGCGGTGCGGGCGTGACACCGAGGGTTGCGATCCCGTTGCTGGTTGCGGTACGGGCGCGACACCGAGGGTTGCGATCCCGTTACCGGTCA